GCTGGCCTGGGAACGCCTTGGTGTTCCCCCGGATAAGCTGGAGGAGGTGGCTGGGGAGAGGGAGGTCTAGGCCACTCTGCTTAGGCTGCTGCCCCCGCGACCTGGCCTCGGATAAAGCGGATGAAGATGGATGGATGGATGGAAAAGAACCTCTGTAACTTTGCTCTGCTTCACTTCAGCAGCATCAGGTAATGTTCATATGTTGATAAATGGTTTTCTACAGTTTTTGTTCTACTGCAGAATATTTTTAAGGTTATTTGATATAAAAAGCCAGACCAGGAAAATCTCCTTCATGTTTTTCTGTGTTTTATCCTCAGTTACTTTGACACAAAGACATCAGCTGTGATGCTCACAATTCTGATGAAGTCTCACATGTATCAGCACTGATAAATTATCAGAATTATAATATTTCTGACTGTCTGAGGCAAAATTGAATCAAAACGGGACCTCGTGAATTGGAATCAAATGGATTATAGAAATCAGTGATGATACTCAACCCTAGTGAGCAGCCTAAGCCTGACAGAAGTGGATGTAGCTGTGGGTAATAAGGAAAGATGAAAAGAACTATTGATAACTTTTTTGTTAAGGCCTGATCCATCTGAAATTCATAGCCAGTGCTCTGGCACAGCGCCATCAATCTCTGAATGCTGTAAAAGCACCAGTGTATCCAGTGTGATAGTGCATTTACGTGATAAATGCACTGCCCAAGTGTCCCCTCTCCTCACTGCCTTTCAGCAGTATGCAACAGCAAACAGGTTGTCAGAGGAGGCCAAGATGATAATTGTGTTGATTGTGATTGTGATGATGTGTTAATACACCTCTCTGAATGTAATAATTAGTTATTATTAACCTCTGCCACTCTACCACAGCATGTCTGTTTATCAGCCATCGTTTTGTTGGAATGGGTCAGAAATGGCCGCCCCAGTCCTGGTTCTGAGGTTTCTCCCTGTTAAAACTGAGTTTTTCCTCCCACTATCACCAAAGCACTTACCCATAGTGGGGTCATATGATTGTTGGGTTTTTCTCTGTTTTCTCTGTATTATTGAAGGGACTACCTTATAATATAAAGTGCCTTGATGCAATTGTTGTTATGATTTGGTGCTGTGTAAATAACTGACTTAACTGACTGAATTCAACTCTGACCTTTGACTCGAAGCCTCACTTCTCTCTTCAGCAGGATGTTTCCCTCCCTGCTGTAGACAGTGCAGGTGTAGACATCGTTGTCTCTGTCTGTGGGGTATTTCAGGGTCAGACTGAGGTCTCCATTTTTCAGCAGGTCTTCATTCATCTTCGTTCGGTCTCTGTAAAAGTGGTCTTGCTCTTCAGGCTGGTCAGAGCCGTTCTCATACACGTGGACCTTTGTGGTC